CCCCTTCCAAGCGCCGCGCGCCCAGTGCTCCCTCCCCCCCAAGCACCGCGCGCCTGGGGCCGGCGCTCACCATGCGTCATGTGCCCGGGGCCAGGCCAGCCCCGAGCACCTGGCGGGCGCATTCAAATGCCCCCGCGGGCGCCATGGTGCCTGCGGGCACCGTGTTGGGGACCACGGTTCTAGGGAATTTCAAAGCCCTGGCTGGGTTGATTTAGTTGGGATTGGTCCTGCTTTGGGCAGGGGGCTGGACTTGATGACCTCCTGAGGTCTCTTCCAGCTCTATGATTCTATGATTCTAAGGATGTGAATGGTTAACCGGGTGAGGTGTACTAGTTATAGTTAACTGCCAGGAGCTGGAGCAGCCCCCTGACCAGTCCAGCGGCACTTGCCACAAGCAGGGGGCACTTCAGCCGAGCTGGAGCAGCCGCTGCCCATGGTGGGGGAGGAAGGGAGGCTGCTCCAGTCCAGCCATGGCAAGTGGGGCTGAGGCACCCCTCTGCCTGCTCCTGTTTAACTGATTAAACATAATGTTTAACTGGTTAACTGATTAAATGGGATGTTATCTCTCTCCCTACAACATTCAGTGTCTCCATGTGAAAGGCTTCCATAGGAACTAAATTACCAGCAAGTGTTAATGAACACAATACAAAATCAGTGTTGCTTAAAAAAAAACACACACACACAGAGAAATTGTACTACTAGTGACAACTCTAAGGCCTCAAAAGCAGTGCCCTTCTCCAATAATTCTTTCAACATTTTTAGAACCAGAAATAGGGAAACCCAGGCTTAAATGGCTCAGGCAGCTAAAAGACACCTGGGACTCTGTCAGACTAAAGTAGCAGGATCTCTACCTACATTTCTTGTTTATTAACAATCTCATTGGTAAGGATGCAAAGAGATACAAATTATAAATCATACCAGCTAGAGTTTCCAGCCAGGGGTTGAGATCCAACTTCCAAATTACATTAATCTTACAGCTTTCACAGCAGGCTTTAAAGGAAAAGGGTTCATTCGCTACAGTGAGGAACAAAGACCTCTCCACACATTCATCATTCTCTGATCCTCAGTTCCTTTACCATATATGCAGAGTCCAGTAAAGCAGAATTCCTCACTTTCTTTGTGTGTACTGACCTATTTGCTGTTCAGCGGTCTGCTGTTAATTTAATATACCAGCCACACATTTTCTGGGAGAAAACTGCAGTTTCTGCATTAGAACATTCCACCCATGGGTTTGTGACACTGCAATGAAGCAATGAAGGTTCCTTCCGGAACCTTTTTCCCCATATAAATGTTGTAAACGATAATAACAGGGGCCATTCATTGTTATTTGATTTACCAATGTAATTCCCAATTACATCTAAGCTCCTTCCACCAGAACAGACACAGAATGCTGCAAGGAACATAATGGAATCAGATTCGGAAGGTGATTCACAAGTGGATCTTTCTAATATTAAAGGATTCAAAGATTTACAAGTTTGGAGAATCACTAACTCAGCAATTCTTAAAATTGATAATAAAAAGGTCTTTATTAGTGAACTCTTTCTGTTGTGATAACTGCTTTCTAGTATTGTGGCACCTCAAGGTGTGTCTACACTGCAATCTTACCTCAAAATAAGCTACGCAATTTATGCCATGCAAATTGTGTAACTTATTTTGAGGTAATTTCAAAATGAAGCACTATTCTGAAACATCCCTTAACCCTCATGGAACAAGGTTTACAGGGACATTGGACTAGTGAGCCCCATTATATTTCAAAATAACAAGTGCACTCAAAAGACGCAGAATAGCTATGCGGGATACTTCTGGTATCCTGAAATAGCTCCGCAGTGTAGACGTAGCCTAAGAGACTAATAAATACATTCGATCATGAACTTTTGTACGCAAAACCCACTTCATCAGATGAGTGAAAGTAGGTTTTGCCCAAGAAAGCTCATGATCTAATATATTTGTTAGTCTCTAAGGCCACGTCTACACCACAGATAAGATCAGAGCAGCCGCAATTGATCTTCCAGCATTCGAATTAGTGGATCTAGTGAAGGCACATTCATTCAAACTGAGTGGGTGTTCCCATCAATGCTGGTAGTTCTGCTCTTAGGAGGAGTAAGGGAAGTCGAAGGAAGAGTGCTCCCTTCGCCTTCCCACAGTGTGGATGGCGTCAAAATTCAAGATATTTCAACTTAAACTATGCAATTAATGGTAGCTGAAGTTGTGTATCTTATTTCAAATTTATCCCCTAGTATAGATCAGGGCTAAGGTGCCACAGGATTACTTGGTATTTTTAAAGATACAGTCTAACACGGCTACTCCGTGAGACTTTTTGTTCTCAATCTTGTGACTCCATTCCACTTATCTATACAAACATGCTCTTTTATTCTCCACCATGAAAAATACTTTCCATTAAATGTTCTGGACCCTAAAAATCTCAGCCAATCTGTATCTTCCCCTTTGCCTCAACAATTCTTGAACACTTCCCCTTTTCCAAGTCTCCTTTCAACTTCTCTAATCTTGTTTCTGCTGGCTACACCACCAACACGATACTTATAAAGGGAGGAAAAGGCCAACCTGATCTACCTGCTCACAAAGACCCATAGAACTGGAAGGACCTTGAGAGGGCTTCTGTTTTCCAGACTAAACACAATTCTTTCAATCATCCCTCGTAGGTTGTGTTTTCTAGATATTTAATCATTTTTGTTGTTCTTCTAAGAACTTTTTCCAATTTGTCCACACATTTCCTGTAACGCGGTGGTTAGAAACACACACAATACTCCAGTATTGCCCTTATCTGTGTGTCTTTGTAATGCTGAAAGACCTCATTTGCCAGTATTGCCCTTATCTTTGTGTCTTTGTAATGCTGAAAGACCTCATTTTTCTGCGGCTGGAATCAAACTTGGTAACTCTGGAGTTTAGAACATGAGCCTCTACCACATCAGCTAAAAGCCCGCTGGCTATCAATGAAGGCTGTAGAGCAGACTCATTATTCTCTCTGTAAGTGATCTCAGTGTCACTAGATAGGACAGTACATCACACCCTTGAGGGTGATGGGTAGATTATATATTGCTTACAACACCCTTGCTAATACATCATAGAATGTTTGCTTTTTTTGTAACTATCTCACATTGTTGACTCACATTTAGCTTGTGGTCCACTATGAGCCCTAGATCCCTTAGCACAGTACTCTTTTTAGGCAGTCATTTCCCATTTTGTACGTGTGCAACTGATTGTTCCTTCTGAAGTGGAGTACTTTGTATTTGTCCTTATTGAATTTCATCCTATTTACCTCAGACCATTTCTCCAGTTTGTCCAGATCATTTTGAATCATAATACTATCATCCTATTCTACTTTGTATCATCCGCAAACTTTGTAAGTGTACTCTCTATGCCACTATCTAAATCGCTGTTTAAAATACTAAACAGAACCAGACACAGAACTGATCCCTGTGGAACATTGATGGTACTCTTTCATTTCTTTCTTCCTTTCTTGTCCAGGGTCCTGTGATTGTGCTCTCATGGTTTTGTTTTCTGTTGTTCACGATCAGGGGAACTGACAACCTTTGTGGGCCCCTAGGCAAGGGGGGAGGGGAGAACTGGCTGCTCACTCCCAGAAGGGGCAGGGCCATGGAAGCCAGCCCTCTGTACCATCCAGAGTGTGTCACACTAGCCCTACCAACCCTTAGAGCAGCCCAGAGCTCACTCTCTTCTGATGTCAATTGAAAGGGTCCAGGGCTCCAGCTGCCACCGCAGTAGCAAGCCCTTGGCCCCTTTGACTCTCTGGGCCTTGGAGCAACTGCCCTTTTGTCTCTCCACCCTCATTGGTGAGCTTCCTCACTATTCTTCAGAGTCCACTTGACAGTTCCTCTTCTTCTTTTTCTTTCTATCTGGCAGCCCTAATTATATCACAAAACTCGCAGTCTTTGGTGGTTTCCTGAAAGTCAGCATTCCTGGAGCTAGGCTGTTACCTGGCTATTCTAGCTTTCATTTCAACAAAAAAATACCGTAAGTTTCTAATCCTAATAGTTGCAAAGAAAAGCTTGAAAACAAGATCTGAGGTCACCCAACAGTTCACACCAGAAAACAAATACAAAGAATGAGACTAAACTTCCAGACACTCAAAGATATTTAGGAATTTAAATCCCACTGAAATCCGTGAGAATAAGGCAAATAAGTTCCTTTGACAGTCTGAATCTGAGTGCCTAAGTTACTGTCCCAGTTCCTAGGCTGCAAATGGGCACTGGAATGTTCTTAGGGTGCTCTCATCTGTCTGAGTCCCTATGACACAAATTGGTTACATAGTCTTTTTGGAGTGAGAGGAGTGGGGCTCTTGGCTCCCACTGCCCTAGTCCCTTTTATCTGTTTGCAGATTCTCTAACCTGAAAAGAGGTAGCGGGTAAAGGCACCAACTAAATGTGATTACTTTGGTGCTTGCTGGACCTATTTTACCCAGCCAGTATACTGGAACTACTATGTTCTTGTAATTACATGGAGGAGAGGTGGTAATTAACCTGAGGGCAGTATCCCTGACAATATCTGCTCTCCTCAAGAGTGCCCAACAATGGCTGGAAATTTCTTATTTTTATGCCCAGGGCTCGACAGATTAGTTAATCTACTCGCCCGTGGCGAGTACATTTTAAGCCAGTGGGGCTGCGCAGCGCAGTCTGTGCATGCGCAGCGTGCGCTTCCACACAGCTGGCGAGCAGGGCTTGCTGCCGCTTGGCAAGCCCTTTTTATGCCCTTACTCCACCCTTGATATAACTGACAGAGCTAGAGGGTCTTCATTGCTTCTGCATGGTTTATATTACTCTTCACGGTCACTTTTCAAAAATGTTACAATTTATACACACCTACGATATAATATAGTATAATTTAGTTATTTTCATTTTTCCAAAGAAGACAAGTTGTGCTAAGAAAGGTAGAATCAGTTAAATGGGATCTCAAAAAGGAAATACTGCAAATGCTACATCAAAAAGTCACATCAGGCCAAAAACCAAAGCCATCAGTGCAGTATGTTGTGATCTTTGCCATACATTTTACAAATGTGTATCTGTTTGCCCATCTGTGAGTCTGTTTGTTCAAGAACTCCTCCTAAATGGTAAGAGCTAGGACCACCAAATTTGGTATGCAGTTTCCTCTTACCATAACTTAAATCAAAGTCAGGTTTTGGTTGTGCCAGGACTATAGGATGGAACTCGAATGTGATTGTTTCTCAAAAAAAAAAAAAGGAAAAGGACAATCTGGTAGGAGGGAGTTATACTATAGAAAGACCACAGGGGGCAACAAGAAACCAAAGATGGGGACTGAGACAACTATAACCCTATTGGAACAGCACGGGGCCAAGTGTGGAGAAAGGGACAGCTATCTACTACAGGTTGAACCTCTAAAATCTGGGGCTCTCTGGTCCGGCAATTTGCATGGTCCATGGATAGGGCTTCTCACCTGGCTCTAATCTGCTACAATCAGAGACGGCTGGGAAACAGACTGCATCCCAAACCCTGCATTCCCAGCCCCACCCCAAGTCAATTATTTAAATGAAGAAAAACAAAATTTATTCGAGTTAAGGACCTGAGCAATACCGGGTAAATCTTTTAGTGAATAAATAATCTCTAGGGGCTTGAAAACTTTTGTTAAATTTTTAAAAAACCTTCATTAGTTCTGATTGAAGATAAGCTCCCTTTCAAAGACAAAAATACCTATCATATGCAACAAAATACCATGTGTAGAACCCTATGAAATCCACATTACTGAAAACACGAATGGAATTGCAGAATCAAAACAATAACATGGAATTCACACTCTCCCTGGCAGTAGGACTACAGAAGCAGGCAGGCAGGGCAGGCTCAGCTAGGTGTTGCCTCTGTAGGCAACCTGGCACAGGGAGATTGATGCAGGGAGCTCAAGCCACAAGCAGTGCAAGGATTAAGGAGAGAAGGATCAGCATCTGGAATTTAAGGGACGCTTCTGAGTTCCTTGCTATGTCAGTTCATGTCGGGAGTTGCAGCTCCCAGGCAGATTCCACTCATGCAATAAAACATTGATCAGTACAGCAAACTACCACCTTTCACTCACCCCTCACCTGAACAGTGTGAACTATGGCTAGTGTTTCTGAGATCGTTCACACAAACTTCTTGCGTAAGAGCCCGTCCACACTGCAAAAGCACATTGGAAAAGCATCCAGACTGCTTAATGCTCACTTGCAAAAAAGCTCGGATTCCCATTAACAGAATGGCCACCAGTGCACCTGTGATTCTTTCGATAGGCTGTTTTTGTGCAAAATAAACCTCATTTACTGTCCACATACCTTCTGAGCAAGAGCACTTACGCAAAAAGGAGTTATTCCTTGTAGAAAAAAGAATACCTACACCGCAAAAACCCCTCTGTTCTGTCAATTCAATGTACATTTTCTTGTGCAAAAATACACTTGAGGTGTGGACACTCCGTGAGTTTTTGCACAAAACCAGCCGTTTTTGCACAAAAACTCTGCAGTGAAGACACAGGCTGAGCAGCAAGCAGAATGAGCCCATCCCAATTCCACTGGATCTTTGAGCTAGGAGGTTATGAAAGGCGGAGTGCCTAATGTCACAGAGTTTGTGCTACCTCATATCGTCTTCCTTGTCAGCTCTGTAGACACAGACAGAAGCTTTATAAA